TTGTGATGTGGCGCTATATAAATAAAATTGAATTGAATTGAATTGAACCATTTTACCGTTGCTACAACTCCAAATAAATCATTAAACCAAAACCAGACAGTCCAATTAATGAAACGTTGCTTTGGACTGTGATTCCTTCTGGGGCTTGCATCTTTAATTGTGAAGAAGCACTTTTAGATCACAGCATTTCTCCTTCAGCTGGTCCAAAGGCCGTGCTTCAAAGATCTTTTTTTTTGCTCTACAGCAAAGTGATCGAGCAGCCCTACCGAGCATCCTGGGGTGTGCGTCCTCATCTTCAGGCAAAACGAACCAATCTGAGAGCCCCTGTCCTTTTTGAAGTCCTACAAGAAAAGCACAGCAGAAAAAGATGAGACAAAAAAAAATATTGGGAATATTGCGGCGGCTGTGTACGAATGTATATATATATAAAAAAAAGGGCAGAGTTGAAAAGGAGAGTGATTCTCGTTATTAAGTAATGAGGATGCCACGGTTCAGTAGCGCTCATACACACACAGTGGAATTCCACACAGAAACCCAAACCACAACCAACAGCCAGCCGCCCCACAGCTCTCGCGTTGCATCAACTCACTGAGTGACGGGTACATTGTCCGAGGCGAGGGGGGAAAGAGTGGGGAAACGTGTTTCTCTCTGAGAGGGAGCCATCTTGCTGCAGCCCGAACAGAGTATTCACCCGGACGTGTTTGTAGGGACCCTGAGCATGGGAAAAAGAAATTCTTTAGATGCTCGTTGTGGACTGAATGATTTACTATATCCATCAATATTTGAGGAATCGTTTGAACTTCTAAATGCTTTGGCATTGCAGTTTCAGGATCCATCAGGGCTCCTCCACACAGACGCACAAAGGCTGGGTCCCTCTGGTCCTGAGGAGGAGACAACAGTCAACAGATGCACTCCTACAAACACAAGTCCCGTTGGCTGAGGCTTTTATGCATTTTACTCTGATGTTACATAAAACAAAGAGCAAAAAAAAATATTTCAACATGTGTATGATACAGCTTTTAGTATCTCACATTAATCTTTTCATCGACTGATTTCAAATGGCTTTAACAAAAAAGACTAAATCCCCCAAAGCCAGCCCGTTACAAAATAAGTCTAAGTTGGATTCTTCAATATCAACAGAAGTAAGACACGCTTGTCGTACACATAAATGTAACGAGGCTGGATCTAAATATGCTCTGGGCTGAGTAGCATCTGCATCCATCATGCCATCATCTTCATTTGGACTGAAGGTCTGGTCTCTGTTGAACTTGTTAAAGACTCCAATTTCTTTTATGGCCACACAGCTTGACCGTCACTATGTCTGTATATGAGCTTCATGGCTAATTTTCCTGAAGCTAAACGCCTCACACCCCACCCAGCAGGGGGCTCTGCCATGCCCTCATTCCCCTCACCGTCACTGCCCACCTGGCCGTGGGCATTCATTTGTGTTATTTTTTTAGAATGAATGGACATAAATGAACTAATGATTCATGACTGCCATCTTTATAGTCGCTGCTTGTATCCCAGCATCATGTCCAAAAAAAGAAAGAGAAGAATAGAAGAAAAAGAAAGAAAAGAAAGAAATGTTCCACTTGTGAACCGTACAAAGGGCTCTTGAAGTTGGGGGAACCTTTGGTGTTTTATTGCCAACAATGGCAAAGGTTAAAATAGCAAAACAAAGATAGCAACTTCAACAGGAAGCGGAATTTTCATGTTAAGGTTGGTGATTAGATACATTTAGTATTACACAAAAAGTAGATGGGAATCCGTTGGTTATTTGTGTGGCGCCATCGAAACTAAGGCTGCACGTAGGCGTAGAACAGGAAGAAGAAAAAAATAGATGATGACGACACTGCGCTGCGTCTGAAACCAAAGTGAAACGCAGTTGTGATGAATATCTAGGTCTGCAGGTGCCGTTTGCCAGCTGGGCGCTGACAAACAGCTAAACAGCTCCACTCCTTTGTTCAGAAACATGAAAATGAACCCCAAACACACCATGAAACTTTTGAGGAACTCTTGGAGCAATACGTGACTACGAAATAACCAACTGTTCCGGTCTGTGGTGCAAAGCCAGTTAACGCAGGATCCTCTAAATGTGTGCTGGAGGCTGAGAAAGACAGGCATGATTTTCCCGGGGAACAAAAAATCCCGATATAACATGGTTTGGCTGTGGTTTGGAGATGTTGGGAGTCCTTCAAACGAAGCGAGCACTTTGCTTGCCTGTTGTTTTTTAGATTCTGCATTCACCCGTTTTATAGCAAGACTAAATTTAAAGTTTTAGTTTAATTCAGTTTCATACATTGAGTCCAATCTGAGAGACAAGTCAGTCTTTGCTTGTTAATCAGACGGAGATTTAAAATCTGCTTTTTTAAATGTGACTCCTAACTGAACACATGATGAAAGGAGAAATGACTTCCATACAAGCTCCACTCAAGGGCAGGATTTATTGTTCTACAGACACCAATTCCATTGCTGTATTCACGAAAACATTACAATAAATATTCCATTCAAATACAGATATCACGTGAAACTTAAGTTACATTAAATAAAACCAGAAGAAATAAATAAGCTGGTGGATGTGGGTCACAACAGTGTGAAGTTGGTACAACAACGGCTGGCTAGATAAAAGATGGCCGACTTGACAAACAAAATCTTAACCTTGTTTTTTTTTTTACCCAAGTTAAACACTGTAACTGTACTGCAAGGAGTCATTACTATAAAAAAATAAAATAAAAGCTAACCAACTTTTTAACAAAGAAGACAATAAAACCGAACCTATCTGCTATCTCAGATCAAACTGCCCTTAGACGTTTTAGAAAAATGCCATTTAACAAAATGTGGTGTGGTGATAACAGGACGCATACCAACACTTTCGAAACAAAGGTGCATCATTGGACGCCGCTTCTCACTGCGGTTTGTCCTCAGAGACCTTTCCTGTGCATGTAGTTACTCTGACTACACACCAGAACCAGCTCCAGAAAAGCAGAGAGAGGCTTTTTCATGTGCGACACCTTCACGTTCTTCAGAATGTCTTCGCAGTTTCTCTGAAAGACAGGAAACAAGTTTGTTTAACGCATGGCACTTTAAAGAAAAGAAAAGAAAGTATTCTTCCCTCTTTTAAACACAATGAGTGTGCGGAGTCGTGTGGGTATGAGACAAACTCATTCAGAGAAAGTCTTACCTCGAATTTCTTCGTGTAAACGTGGATTTCTCTGGCGAGCCTCTTCTCATCCTCGGTAGACGAGAAAGAGATGGAATGGTTTTTCAAGATCGCCCCTGCTTTGCAGAAGAATTCTTCCTGTAATCCGCATCAGCAAAAAAAGAAAAAGAAAGACACATTTTTAAGCTTGTGTTTTCATGTTAAAAGACCCCCCCAACGTGCCGGTAGAGGCAATGTCCTCACCATGCAGCCGGCGTCGGCCAGGGGCTGGACGTCCTCAACGAAGTGCTCCTGGACACGAGGGGAGGACAGGTTAACCACTCAAAAAAATATGTTTTTTTAAATGGCAGTCGTGCCCATCGTACAGGCTCTCACCTGTTTGTAAGTCTCCTTCAGTTTCTTTGTAGTGTCGATCACGGATTCCAGGGGGTTGTGTGGCGTGGGGCCGGCGCCGGACGGGCCGGGCAGCAGGGCCAGAGCGGACACCAGCAGAAGGGCGAGCATCTCCATGCTTGTAGTTCGTGGACCGTGGACTGACGAGCTCTAGAAGTAGCGGCTTTCTTTGCGGGGGGGGGGGGGGGGGGGTTGCCCTGAAGTGCTCGATCGCTCAACTGTGGACTCGCAGTTTGTGTCGGAGGTCGGAGGAGATCCAGATTTATAGCGGTGCTGGTGCACGCCTCAAACGTGTCCTCTAATGACAACAAAGCCAACTGCATTCTGCAGTGTGTGTGTGTGTGTGTGTGTGTGTGTCGGGGACAGAGATAAGATTAAGCTGTGGTTGATGAGCAACTTCACAAAACTGAAGTGGGTTTTCTCTGAAACAAATGGGTCGGTTAATAAAGTGGAAAAAAAGCCTTAGTGCTTCAGAACTTATTTATTACTTGAACATTGTCTTGGAAATTTGAAACATGAACTCTCACACACGCCTTACTCAGTTGTCACTGCAGAAATTCAGTCTTGAGAACAACTACAAGTGTTAATGTAGATGTAGAGGAATTGATACTGATATTCTAAATAAAAAAGAAAAATAAATCACATCAACTTGTTCAATCAAAAGTGTCATGTCTGTCGGAAGAACTGGTGTTTTTGATTCATCTTCTGAGGATTATCAAAATATATAAAATACAAACTTCTGGTTTGGCTATTTCAGGCACTTTGGCCAACTTTGGGTTAACAGAGAGATGCAGATATCAATGGGATGAACAGTTTAAGAATTGAAAAAAAAACAACATAATGTTTGCATTTTCTTTTCTTTTGACTCTATCAACCAGGACTGGGACAGAATAGGGAAATGATTCTGTGGATTGAGTTGGTACCTCAGATCACTTTGCATCGCGGAAACATTCCTGCGCATGTTGGTGTGAGCAGAGTCTTTGTCCAGAGGAAAGCGAATACCCAACCTAAATCAGCTACACTTCCACACGGCTAGCTGACCGACAGCTGGACCTTTGGGAGCTAAGGATCTGTGTGCGTTTGTGTGCTCAGTGGAGGTAGGAGGAGAGGGACGAGATGCTGCACTTTGCGATTTCCGAGTTCTGGTCCTGATTCTTGCGGATGCGGTAGAAGTGCTCGATGTAGCTGGAGCGCCCCAGCAGCTCCACAAAGTCTTCGTCGTGCGTGATGACCAGCAGCTGGAAGTTCCGCTGGCGGGAGCGACTCTTGATAATTCTGCAGAGAGAAGAGCCGACGGTCAAATTGTACACCTCTCGTGGTTGTCTTTTTTAACAGAAACTATAAGTGCTCGCCTTTTTATCTTAATGCTAGCTTAATGGGCAGATTTAAACATCTTTCCAGGGCTTTCACAGAAAAAAGTGGGGTGTGCATTTACAAGCTGCGAATGACCGAAGATGTATGAAACAATGTCCACTAATAATGCAACACGGGGGTTGAAAGCATTAAGTATAAGAAACTAGGAGGCTTTTTACTTACTCCACAAGAGCGTGTGCCAGGGACTCGATGTTCTCCCTGTCCAGGTTGGTGGTGGGCTCGTCCAGGGCCAGGATCCCGCAGTTCAGACAGAACGTCTCGGCCAGAGCCAGCCGGATGATCAGGGACGCCAGCACCTGGGAACGGGAACAGACGGGAGCCCAGCGGTCAAGCCCAGCGGTCAGGCGGGGCACCTACGGCGACGGCGCTCCGGGCACCTTCTGGCCGGCGCTGCAGCGGCCCCGCATGTCCAGCGCCGTGTCCCCCTTCACCATCACCACCCTGTAGTTGTAGACGCGCCGCCTCCCGCCCGCCGAGGCGTTCTCGTCCACGTCGGATCGGATCTCCACGTACTCGATGTCTGGGACGGAGGCAGGAGTTAGCAAAGGGGGGCGTGCCAGCGCACGGATGCCGACAAGACGCCGCCGGACGCACCTTGACCCCTATAGGTGCTGCGCCACAGGTCTCTGATGATCTTATTGATCTCATCCATCTTCATGCCGTGGAATTTCATGATGGTCCTGCGAAAAGGAACAGAAAGACACAAGCCCAATTACGGATGAGATACTTTGGATATATGCTGCTTTGTTGGCCATTTTACTTTTTCAAAGTATCAATCATGAGAGGAAGGATAGTTCTGAAGTATATATATATATATATGTGTGTATATATATATATATATATATATATATATATATATATATATATATAAACAAATATATATATATAAATAAATAAATCTTTTTTTTTTCCTGGTATATGCTTTCTGGTAATTTGGCGAGAGGATGGAAAAGATAGCAGCTCACAAAAGCCATATCATATCGATAGGTGAGCAGATATCAACCATCTGGTTGCTGCTTTCCTGCATACTGATAACAGTTTTGTGCAAAATCTAGCAAGGTAATGAAAAGGCCATGTGGTTAAAAAAAAAAACAAACAAAAAAGAAAAAAATCTGACGGATATCGACGCTTACCCTTCAAACAAACACCATATATAGAGCTTTGTGCATCATGAAGAAAATGATGACAGAGGGAGGAAGAAGAGCAGCCCTTATCCAAACATCTGACCTACTGCGAAAAAATTACGCAAATGCTGAGTCAACAGATGGTAGGAATGAATAGCCAATTCCGGTGCACAAAAAGATTTGATTTCAGTCATCAAAAAAAAAAAAGTTGTTTGCGTAGAAATTTTTCCTCTTTTATTTTTCCATTTATTTGCAAAGGCAACTTTAAACATGACTTCCCCACAAAGTGGGCAGCCTGAGAGAGAAACTCAGGGTTTCAGCAGTGTTGCAGATGTCCTACAGGCCTCCGACTGGGCCTGAGATGAGCCACGGTGGAGGAATACTGGACGCAAACCGAGTCAGTAGTCCTGGCTTTAAGTTGACACATGACAAAGTGTTTCTACCTTTTGTTAGCTCAGAAACTCAGATTGCTATAGAATGCCCTCACTCGTATTTATAACTCTACCACAAGGCGCTCTGAGTTCCTGTGAGCTTTCTTTATGTTGCTTTCACTTCTTCGAATGTGTGTCACCCAGAGTGAAGCTTCCAGCGTTGCCTATAGACCGCCGGTCTGGCTCCGGGGGGGCACCAGTTGTGTAGCAAAAATATGCTCATGACGCTGTTTTTACCTTTCTAATTCAAAGGCTTTGCTGACAGATTTAATTTTTTTTCTTTGCCATTTTGTTTTGGAGCCCAATCAAAGGGTCTTTGGTGCATCCAGACAGAAACGGTGACACAGATTAGTGTATTGTCTGAGGACTTCAAAGGGCTATTGTGCAATCTTGATAACGCTGCTGCCTGATGCTGTGACCTACCTAAACTGACTGGGAAATGACGCTTCCTAATCTCTTCTCAGATGTTGTCATTAACGGTTGTTGAACGGCACACACTTGCAGAAGCATTGATTTCTAGCATGGGGGACTAGAAATCCTTATTCAATGCACTGATTTAGATTTTTTCACCAATAAGGAGTTCACATTGCACAAGTGAAATGTTTATTTTAATTTTTTTTTTTTACCCAGATTGTTTATATTTGCGGTTTAAGTGGAGATACCAATAAATATCTTGGCTATCAGATGTATGTCATGACTGTATTTCTTTCTTTTTGCTTGTAAAACATTTACATTTACTGGTCGCTGAAGAATGAAAAGACAACCTCTTTGTGCTTTCACAGTGGTAAAAACACACACAAAGATTGACCGTGGAAGAAATGTCAAAAGAATTCCAAAAAGAGTTGTTTTTTTTGCTAATGTAACACAACTCAGCTGTGTGTAAGGTGTCCCTCGCCCTGGTTTACTGGGGGATGCGCAGCAGGGAATAAAAAATGAACAAAGACAAAAGGGCTCACTTTTGTTGACTGATTTTTTTTTCCCCCATACAGACGCTGTTCACCTACACAAAGAAAATCTGTTACGGTAGGAATGCCAACGACTATAAATCTCATCACCGCCCCGAGAGCTGGGAAACGAATTCATGACGAGGCAAATCTGCTGTGAGATCAAACCTACAACAGGGAGCGTTCTTCCCCTTTGGCATTTCCCCCGTGTTCTCTTCCCCCTAAAACCTTTCATTAACATGTACTTTTGGGAGATTTGACTAATTTGATCAACAACGCCAGGCTATCCCTTTGAAGGTGAGAAAAACATTTTCGATTGTGCCTTAGTGCGTGTGTGTGTGTTAGTTTGGCACACCTACCCACAGGAACTGTTGGAGGGAATTCCTCTGCTCTACCACTAAGTCAGTTATTGGGGACCACTGGAAGTCATATAAATCTGCCCCCTTTAATCCACTTGAGTGTTGCTTGAGTTGTGTGCTTAAGGCTACACAACCCATACCAGGACTTCTTCTATCCTCAAGAATATTTCAGTAATTAGCAACATCCCCTTTTAAAAAAAACATTTTTTCATGATTTCTTTCACTATTTTCAGTAGGGACTATATTTATTCAAGCCAAATGATTGAGCAGCTCGTATGATGTCAATTTGGAGAAAATCATACTTTGAGGGGGTTTAGAATGCTCTAACTTGCAAAAATCAATTGGGCACTATATTATGAGGAATTAATAAATATAACGGAAGCCACAAAAGAAGCCCTGTGTGGTGGATGGTGATCCAGCTTTGAAATTTGCCAGTCATGTGTTTCCACTCTGAGCTGGAGTTTAGAAGTCCCTTTGCGGTTTCTATGATAGATCGGAACCTAATTACTCCCTCAGCCACCTCTGTGACCAGATGTCAGTGGTTAATACAAGTTCTCCGTTAGGTTGTACATCCCCTGAGCACTGACATCACTTTCACACCAATGACGCCGCTGACACTCTATTACAAAGGGTTTGTGGCCTTAACCACAAAAGGGCCTGATAATGAAACAACCGAATTCCACGAAAAGCATGATTTTCGAGAAAAAGAGCATGAGAGCAAAAATATTATCAGCACGTCAATTAGCTTTTGGGCGAAAAGAAAATTTATTTTATGGACAAGTTCCCATCAGTTAAGCCATTATCAATTAAGCTAATTATTTCTCAAGGTAATTCTTCCTAAGATGCAGATATTGAGATTTATTTTCCTGAAGCTGGCAAAGCTGGTTGGCACAGATGTGCTGTTTCACTGTTTTCACATGTGAACATGTAATTATCAATGCTTACTGTATAATTTGTAATACTGAGAATTAAATCTCTCCTGTGAACCCAAATCCCTACACTTAAAACCCCAAGTCCCACCTGGAACAATTGGAACCAACTCGAGGAGAAGGAGCAACATAGCTTTAAAGATTTATTGACGTAGTCCTGAAGCGTGGCATTTGTTATTTGCACGTTGACTGTTTACAGAAAAAATAAAAGAAGGGGCTTTCGGTCTGTGTCACTGAAAGAATACCATCACCTATCACCTTCCAGCACCTTCGTTCAAACAGCCCACCCTCTGATACTCGTGGGAAACATAAAAAAATATATATATATATATCTGTTTCCCAGAAACATACCCACCATTTGGCTGAGCTGACCAGACAGGAAAAGCTTTGAAAACGCGTCGAAACATTTCCCTCTCTGGTAGTTTTTTCTTATTTACTGCCTTTTTAATTTCCAATCTTAATTAATTTGTTTTGGTATTTTTTTGCAATGGAAGCACACAAATAGTCAGAGTTGATAATATAGTATAAAAATGTATAGCTGTAAAGTTGTCCTTCCCCATATCACAGCTAACTTTTTTGCGAACATATTGAACTGTTCATTTTATAATCATATACATCTAATTTTGTCTCGTGTATTTTTGGAACTGTGGCGGAATTTAACAGTATATAAGTGTCTTAATGTAATTATTATTTTAATGGTTTCTAGATCAAAAATTGGGTGTGTGGTAAAGAAGCTGGGGGAAGATTTCATCAGCACTTCTAAGGAAAATGTACTTTCTGAAACCAAATTCAAATTTGAACATCTTGAATTTTTAAAATCAGGATATCTAACGTCCAACACCAACGTCGGAAAAGTACTTACGCTAACAGTTAACCAACCAAAAATCTTAAGAAGTAACAGTAACTCGCACAAACAAAAAGCCACATTGGTACCATGTCTGTGTAAAGGGTGTGTGGAGAAATAGTGTCTTGTTTAGAGAGAGTTAAGCTTAAAACCTACTGGTCCAGAGCTTTGTAGTAGAGATCCAGGTCTTTAATGACCAACTCTGTTGTCCTCATAATGATCATCTTGCTTTTGTAGCGCTCATCAGCTTTGTCATACTGCTCTTCACGCAGCTCTTTCCTGAAAGCAGGACATTTATGGAAAAATAAATAAATTCATGAAACAGTTTTTTTTCCTTCACTATCCAAGACACCTGCAGAAAACTGTTTTAATAGAGGAATAAATCAAAAAGAAAAACTAGTGAACGAGAATAATTATGTCTATTCTTCAAAAAACAGTAACAGTAATCAGGCAGGATGTTCAAGACTAATAACATTTCAGGTGATAAGGCTTCAGCTTTCCACTGAGCTTGAACATGCATCACCTGTAATGCAGAATTTCCTCCTCGAAGCCCTTCTGGCGCCCCAGTGCGATGCTGCGGTTCTTTTTCAAATCCTCCAACCTCCGCTCTGCTTCCCGGCGTTCTCTGGACAAGCAGAACGGAGACATTAGGTGATCCTTCAAAATCACCAACAACTTTAGCAACGGACTACTGAGGCCTTAAAACCATCAAAAGGCGATCAACAAGATGTAAGCCATCTCATGTGGCGCTCACTTCACCCCTGCCAGATTTACATGCCCAATACAATCCACATGAGAAGTGTCTTACTGGCGCAGCTGCAGGACCTGCATGTTGCCCATGTCTTTCATCAGAGCTTCACGTTTAGCCAAAACCTCCTTCAGCTCCTCAACACGCTTCCTCAGGGTCAGATTGTCCTGTAGCCAGCGCTCTTGGACCTGAGAAACAAGTATAAATAATGCTGTAACTATCAATAAAAGCTTGTGTCCGTGTAGATGTTAACAAAGTAATGATAAAATAAGAGGGGAAAAAAAGTCATGACAGATCCTTTGAACTTTGGCCTCTCCTTCAAAACTTTAATAGTCATGAATGACAAAGTTTCTTTGTATTTTAATTTGCTTTGTTTAAATTTTTTTGGGCAGGGTTTCAAATATTGGGCATTGATATTACTGGAAACTTATCTGGTTTCTTTGAAAAAAAAAAAAAATTGCCTCAAAAGTTGATAAAGTGCTGATATAGAACCGGAATGATAAGAGGCATCGACATGAGAAAAACCATAAAAAGTTTCCATTTCTTGTCAGACTGAGGGGTGTAAAATAAAAAGTGAGAAGGTTCTCTTGTTCCATGGCTTACTGGCACCAAATATAAGTTCTGTTGGATGTTTTTCGTCGCTTGCATTTCACCTGCAAGCGACGACATCAAGATCACCAGCCTTTTTTAAAGCATCAAAACTAATTGCACAGCATTAAAATCTAATTCAAATTTATTTCCCCATCCCTGTCGAGACTGATAATATATTGAAATTAGTTTGATGAGATTCCTAATTGAATGTTCTACTGACATTTGACTAAAATGATGCTGAATGCCAGAGAAAAACAAACAAACACCTTTTGTGTATCTATGTCCTGTCGGATGTTTCCCATTTCCTTCGTGATCTTCTCTTTCTGCTTTTCCGCTTCATGGAGCTGAGTGTTGGTCTCTTGGAGCTCGGACTCTTTTTGCTGAAGGGATGACGCAAAAACAAAGGCGTCGGCATGGTCATGAAGCATGTGAAAATTATACGGACAGCAGCAAACATGGAACTCAAAGGAAAAGACGTTTGGGTTGCCAAAAACCCAAAATAGACCACAGAGAAACTGCTAATTATTTGGATCATGTATGTGTCAACATTACCTCTTTGTATTCTTCCTTTCCATCTTCTACGTATTTAGTAATCTCTCGCTCCAATGAGGTGATAGTCTTAACTCGTTCTTTAATGGCATTGATCTGAAAGCAACAGAGTTGTATCAATTACTTAATGGAGATGGGTAGAGAAAATAAAAGTGAAAAAAGATATTTCACAGTAAAACAAAGAAAAACAATGATGCTGTAAGAAAGCAGAGCATTACTACTCTGAATTCAGGTTTTTTCAGGAACTGGAAATCATGATTCCCTTTAGTAACGAAAGAAATCTGGTAATATTTTTGCTCTTGACCTTCCCTTAAAAAATTAAAAACTTCTGCAATAAAAATAAACGTCTGTAGATAAACTCGAACATGTATAGCCAAAGAACAATTTGCCGTGATGTTTATGAAAACTCCGTCAAAGTCCTATGAAAAGGTCCAACGTGTTAAAAAAAATAAATAAATAAATAAATTAAGTTTAATCTAGTCTGTTAGTCATTAGTCAATTAACAAAACCAGTGGTTATGTACACAGAACAAATAATAAGCAGCAACTGAGGAGTGTGGTGGGGGTGGAAAAGTGTGACAGCGCTCCAACCTTCTCCTGGCCTTCTTCCTGCCTCTGCCTCTTGTGTTCTGCCATGTCCTGTTTCTCCTGCTGCAGCTTCTCCAGAGCAGCAGACAGAGGCAACAGCTGCTCCTTTGCCTCCTGAAAGACCACAAAGTGGACGGAGAAGTCAAGTTCTGCAGCACAGAAACCTTTTTGGATCGTAAGTTATTGAACAAAAACATGGGGGCAGATTAATTACATGAAGCTTTCTGTTTTGCCCGTGTGAAAGAAAAGGAAAGATGCCCAATATCGTTTTAATCGTGAAAGGAATAAATGGGTACCCGGATGTCCCGGGTTAGGGCCTGGATCTCTGTGGTGAACTCCACACACTGCTCCTCCAGCTGCTGCTGCTTCTGCATGTCGCTGCTCAGCTGCAGCTTCTCTGCCCTCGTCTCATTCACCACGCTTTTCAGCCCCTGAATCTGATCCTGCTGGTCCTGGATCAGCTTACGATTCAGCTCCATCTTACTGCAGGCTGGGAGGACACAAAGTACAAAAAAAAGACCATCAGAGTGAGCGATAGGCAGGGTGCACCCCTGGACAGGCCAGCAGTCCATCCGCACTCACACTGCAGTTCCAGGAAAGTTGATAGCTAGAATAATGGCAGCAAACAAACAAGAAAAACAAGCAGGCATGTAGAAAATTGAAGAGCAGGAGGTTATCAGAATGTATCACCGGCTGCCAAGTCAAAGCGTGACTTGCCTGGCAATGCCATTTCCTGATTTTCTCATTTCACCGGCTACGTGATGTGTCAGTAAGCAACCATCTCATCTCAGATGGCTCGGCTTACACAGAGAGCCACACATGGGTCGTAATCTTTATTCATATTTGATTGCACCAGCGGTGGTCTCTAGATTGTGTTTTCAGAATCTTGGCTTTTCTGGTGTTTAGCCAAAGAAGGAGAACCAAAGTTCAAGTTTGATGGCTTAAAGGCCTCACGTGCGATCAGATCTCCCCAAAAAGCACTAAAAGATCAATTTAAATGTTAAGCGGAACTGAAAAAGTATTATCACACTCACTGATTTATCAGTACGGATTAAATCATTTTTTCAAGGGGTCAAGGAGAGCATCTTAATCCCTTTATCGAAACAGATAATCAGGGTCATGCTTATATGTCCCGTGAGTCGGAAACCAGCTGTAGTGTGTCGTGCCTTGGCTGACGGCTCAGAGGGAACGCACACAGGTGGCCACACCTATCAGAGCTGTTGCAGATTTGTAACCGCGCACACATTGCCCAAGACTTCTTTCCCTAAATGGGTCTTACTCGTGTCCAGCTTGTGCTGAGTCTCTTGTTTCTCCTGACTAACTTGTTGGATGGTCCTGGTTAGGTCTATTCCCATGAGTTTGGCTGCGTGTTGAGCTATTTTCCTCTCCACTTCTTTAAGGTCCATCTGGAAATGAAAAAACAAAAACGAAACAGACATGAGTACAAGGCTGATAAAGCAAATGTGGATGAGTATAAGAAGAGTGTACATTTGAGTATAATCTGGCTGCATTAGAGAGGGAGCGGGTACCAAATATCTGTCCATAAGAGATATGTCCTGCAGGCAGGCCTTGGCTGTTTCCTCTTCAGACATCAAGGTAGCAAGCAGAGTCTCTTGCTCTTCCACATCTGCCTTGAGTCTTTCGATTTCTCTGTTCACGGTCTGCAGACGGTTTCTCAGCTCAGGCAGCTCCTTTTCTTGAAGCTGTACAATGGACTGTCTGAAAAACATCCAAGAAAAAGTGATTAGACTGTCCATCAACCTCTCTTCTTCAGGCCAAACATAACCAGCTTGTTATTGTTGAAAAAAAAAAAGACTTTTACACTACAATTTCTTGACATTAGTTCAATGTCTTTTTCCTAAAACCAAGAACTTTAGTGTACAGTCAAAGTGCTTTCAGGCAGCTTTGGTAGAGGTGATTAATCTTCTCTTTTAAATGTTCAACGATCATAAAAACAGGAGCTCCCAGCTTTAAAACAATGACACAATGTTTAATGTTGTGCTGAATATTCTTACAGGGCCAGCAAAAATGCTAAATCAAGAATCTTTCAATATATTTTATTTAAAAGTTTTTTGAAACCATTCAAATCTGCTGTTGTGAAAATTTGCTCTCAATTATTGTGTTGCAATTGAAATGCAACCACCCTGCTAGCAAAAGGTGGCGGTCACTACAACTTTAGTTTAAACTTATTTTCCTCTAATTATCCTAGATTTTTTCTGTTTTTCAAACAAAAAAAAAGAAAAAAGAAAAAAAGAAAAAAAAGAACAGCAAATCAAGACGCTTCTTAAAGTGAAATGTTTTTATGTTAATTAGAAAGTAATATTAGGGGCTTTGAAAATGTTCCCCCTCATTTACAAAAAAAGACTACTATGTGCTAAAAAGTGGAACAATGTGCTCTGAAAAGCAGAGAAGTCATTTCACATGTTGGGTGGCTGGCATCTTCAGTCAGTGGATATTAGGTCACTGCACACATACGAGGTCACGCTCATCTCCTGAACAGGAGGTGGAGAAAGCTCTGAAGGTAAAACTTAGATCAAATAACAGTCCAGCTCCATCTAGTGGAGCAGACTTCATAAAACCTGATCTCTGTAAACTGGACACAGGGGGTAGATATTATGTCCAAATGCCAATTTATAGTAGGCAGTGTGAACACAATAACTGAATATTTATCAACAACTTTGATAACTAGTAATAACTCATAAATAGCGCCCCCCCCCCCGCCATTTGAAAGTAGAATGTACAGTCGAATAACAACCAACTGTTTGTCTTGCATAAGAACATAACTTAGTGATAATATTCACAATCTATTTTCTAAAAAGGGGTTATGAAACAACTTTGTTTCTAAAAAGGTTTTAGCACTCGAAGCAGCCTTCGCCATTAAAAAGATTAATTCTATGTCGTTCCTGTTTTTCCCCACAGCCATGAACTCATTTTCATGAATCAAATTTGTGTATCAACATTGGGCTTTGCAGGCAAAGACTTAAAGACAGCTGTATGCCTTTTCTGCATGTTTTCCAGCTTGAATGAGTAAAGCTGATTTATTCAGAACTATTTTTAGCCTCTAAACAGCGCTGAGCGACTGAACGGCAAGTTTCTTTTTTTAACCAATAATAAATTAGTGTTATTTTTAGACTAATTTTGTGAATTAACGTCCATGGTACAGCTCTGATATGAGTTCTTTTTTCTTGTCATATAAATTAATTCAAGGGAGAATGTCTTTAAATTTCCTGTTTTTTTTTAATCAGCACGTAAAAAAAAAAAAAAACATGGTTCCTGCAGATTCAATTTCTTAGCTATGATGGTTTCAGAAAATCTATGTAAAAAAGTTGCTTTTATTAACGGTGTGCCAAATGTTATGGGCATGTACAACACCGTACTTCAAATTCAGATCCAGTTATCCCTTGAAAAAGAGATTCTTCATCTCATGCTTCCTTGTTAAATAAAGAAAAACCCTTATAATATTAATTGCTGGGTCGACATGAAACTGGCCTTTCGAAACTACATTTAAGTTGCGAATCACGCTTGCCTTGAAATTAGTTCCTAAATTAGGTCAGAAAAAACATTTCTTATTCATCATGTGGAACCTGCCTCTTTTGTTCAAGTGGCCTTTATGGTGCAGTGAAGCGTGAAGGGGACATGATATGAGGCCACGAGACACACGCGTGGCCTCATCCAGACTCCAGCCTGGACGAGGTGACATAAGGACTTTAGCATGCCTCAAAACTGGAGGAACTAAATGTAGCTGAAGTTGTTTCTCTGCCGTTCTTTCATCATTCTGCAGAACAGAACGCGGCAAAAATACCTGACGGGTCTTAGAGCCATCATCTCATCTTTCTTCCTCTCCTTCCTCTTCAGGTCCTGCTCGGTGTTCTTCAGTTTGTCCGGCACCAGGCGGAGCTTGGACTGCATGTCGCTGATTACTTCCTGCAGGTCGGACTCTGCGGGAAAGGTTCGCTGACACACGGGACAGCAGGGCTCCCTGTCCTCCGTCAGCTGGCTGATGAACTGGCTGTACACCGCGGTGGCTCCGGCCAGCATGGCTTTACCAGGACAAGTGGATGAGGGGAAAAGAAAGGCTTAATTAGCAGAGTAAAACCTGGGTTTTTTTTCTGCAAGTGCAATGTGGACAGATGCTTGACTTTTTATTTTATTTGATCAAACTCCCAGTTTCTCTACATTTACCTCTTTGTTTGGATATCTTTTCCAAATCCTCCTGCATTTTGCCCAGGTCCTGTTCCAGATCCTGACTGCCGCACACATTGAAGAACTTTTCCTCATCCGTGACCAGCTGCTGCTCCTTCTTTCGCAGCTCAGCAGCGATGTGGCTTTTATTCTGCTCACTAGATGCCAAATCCTTACTGAGAATAAAAAAAATATATATATATACATGTATCAGGGGTTATCTGCCAGTAACAGATACATTTAATCGCATCGTTACTTCAAAATATGTTGGATTTAATGTGAATGTATCAGACGAACTTGAGCTTTGCAAGTTTCTCCCTGGTTCCGTTAATTTCCTTGGACTTGGAATAAATCCAATCCTCTAGCTCTCTCTTGTTGGGAAAGTGGCCCAGAAGAGACACAAGATCCTCGCTGTGACGTGACTTGATCTTTCTCACCTGCTCCTCCTTTTCGGTCTGGAATAAGAGAAGAGGAAGGATGCATGAAAAGCCATCAGAAAAAGCACAGCGTTAATAAAAGAAATGTGGGCAAAGACAGTTTTTTTAGGGTTTAACATGCATAAGAGAGACTTTGACATGGGGAAGCGCACATTCCCAAAGGAAGGGGCTCTACTCTGAGATTATCACACCTTATCCTTTTTCAACATGTCCATCTGTGTGCGGGCAGTTGTGTGTGTGTTGAGGGTTTGCATTTCTTGGTCGAGCTGTCTCTGCGTGCGATCGAGCTCAGTCTTTTCCCTCTGGAGTTCTTCAACCTCAGCCTTCAGCTCCTCCACATTAGAGCTCTGCACTGCACTCTGCAACTCACGCTCCTGAAGCGGAAACACACACATACAGCGCTGTTCTAAGAAACACGTCAAAGAAACCTGGGTTGTATATATATCATATAATAAATATACATATATGTGTGTATATCAGAATCAAAATCAGGTGTACACAATTTCTCTTTGTGCTCTCACCGCTTTAACCAATTCACTCTCCAGTTCGTGCAGCCGGCCAGATGAGCCCTCGAGCCTCTGCAGGTCTGCTCTGATGTTCCTCAGCTCTTGCTGCTTCTTTCCCTGCAGGTCTCTCTTCAGCTCCACCGTTCTCTCCAGGCTGGTCTTCTTATCTCTCATGTCATCAATGCACTGCTGCTTCTGTTGCTCCTTTTCCTGCAGGTCAGTCTAAATGATCAAAGCCGGATGAAATTACTCAAGCATCAGGAATGAGAATGCCTTATTCATGTTGTATTTGTGTATAGTATAAGCACCAGTATTTTGTAGTGACAACGAATTCAATTTACGTGTGCACACTGTTATAAAGTTGACCTCAATCTAATCTAATCGAAAATTCACGTATAAATACCGACAAGTCAGACTGGTATGTTACTAAGCTAATTATTCAACTCTAAACAAATCACAGCACAAACACATTTCTGTATCTGAGAATATCCTATAGCCGGCAATTAGTGGAATAACATGTGGCCATCTGTCTGGAAGCTGGGATAAGCTCCAGCCCCCTGACCACCCTGAATTAGATTAAGTGGGTGTAGAAATGGAGTGATTATTTAAGACGGAGTTCCCCTGAGAAGTTTACAAGCACTCATTTACCAAAGCTCAAGTTCACTGCATACTTTGGTTAAGAGCATTTAACTACATGTAGGAATCCTAATATGTGGCACAAGTTACTCAGCCTCATTTGTCTCTGATGCACAAGTCTAAAAATAGCAGGGGTTTTCATGTAGGTGATAATATTTCTAATATTTCTACATGTTAGCATTTGTTCCAGAAGACTGCTGAGAACACATTCTGATGTGGACTTCAAGAAAAAAACAAATAGATAGAACAGTGTGAGTGGCATAGATTGGTAAAATGACATAGACTGAGAACAGTATAATTCTAACAGCTAACCATCAATAAGACATTTATTAGAAACAACAAAAGGGCTTTTTTAGAGGAGTAAAAGAGAAGACTGAAGAATAAATTCTTTCTTTCTCACCATAACCTGATTGTGGGTCTCTTTTTCTTGCTCCAGCCTCTGAGTAACATGTTGATGGAAGCTCTCAAGCTGGAGAGATGAGAATGGTGGTCTGTCGTATCCCTCCATCTCCAGGAAGGACGATAAGGAGCGGACCTGAAAGAGGTATGATAGGTTACGTTTAATAATGTAAAAAATATCATTAAAAATTTAAAAAACATGTATATAAAATGGATATAAAGATGTTTTCCTCTTCTAAATATTGGCATCTGTTCAGTTTGATCCAGATGTCACCTAAAACTATGAGACTAACTATATAATGTATGATAGATTATCTTCAATGAGTCAGTACAAGTGTTCGTTTTTTCTTTTTATTCAACCTGAACGTCGCGACTTTTGATGCACTGAGTGTGACGATCAGCTTCCAGCTGTAGACGGCCTGAGGGGGGAAAAAAACAAAAAACAAACTGCGTTTCATCTATCAATCACAAATGTTTCTTTTGGGGATTAAAAAAATGCTTCCATTTCTGGTTTGATTTTTCCAGTGTGGCAATTCACTACAGGACATAAATTTGACAAAGAAAAACCTGTGTAGCAACGTAAAACAAAAGAATGAAGTATGGTTAACGTGTCCTTACATCTTGACATGCATCTATTCTCAGCTAATTTTTGCCAACTCTGTCTATAAATGGGGCTGATGGCAATTCATAATAAACATCCTGAGTACCTTGCTCTACGAGGAGTTCAGCTTTGATTCTGTTGAGTTTCTGACACTCTCTGCCAGCTCTCTCCAGCTCCTTCTGGCAGTCAGTGAGCCTCCGCTCCTTCTCCCTCACAGTCCTCTGGTGGTTCTGGTAAACATCCTGCAGCTCCTCATCTGAACCCTGGAACACCTGCCGCACAAACACTTTTTACTGCCTTAGACCCAACACTCAATGAGTACATACTGGCAAACTACCAGGGTTAGATATAGGACTCAAATAGAGACATCCACGGAAAAAAACGTGGATTTAGAAATCTTAAAAAATATATCTGACTAAAGGGCATCATACTTTCATATTCTGCAAGAGCAATACATAAATATGACTAAATGTAGGACATCTAGTGTTTTGCTCCTAAATTTAATTTTCTTGTTTGTGTCCTTTTACCTCAGTAATTATTTTTCAGACGACTTGTCAGCTTTCCAAACAGAGTGTAACTGAATTTAATCTGTGTGGTGCTGATGACAATCAATGACCCAATTCCTTATTCAACTTTTCTTTTCATTTCAAAAAGGCAAAAATCAGATCTGTTTACTACTTATTAATCATATACTGCTGCATTACTTGTTCCATTGTTTCCTCCAGCTCTTTGTTATCTTCCTCCATTTGTTGCTTCCTGCTGTCTAGAGCCTTGATGTCGTTGTCCAGTTTCATAACTTTCCCAAATTTCATGTCAATATCCAACAGTCGGCTCTGAAAATAGGAAAAGGGAGTAATGAGAGGAGGGGGATACTACTTTACCTGAGCATGGCACTAGTGTTGAGGTTTATACACACTTAAGTTTCATGTTTATTAGCAACATTATTCACATAAATGCACAAAACTCACCTCAAGTGGATCAATCTGGTTCTCGATCTGCTGGACGCTATCTTTTGAGGCTGTCAGCTGAGCCTCTTTAGTCGCCACAGTCTCTCTAATCTGCTGAGCCTTCTCCTTGTTCTGCTTCAGGTACCGCAGCTCCACCACACACTCTTTGACCGTCTGGGTTTGTTTGAGACGCAGCTGACGCATGGTCTCCAGAGCTTTGATATATCTAGGAAATAGACACAACAAATAGTAAGAGGCCTTCAAATTTAGCAATTTCTGCATGGTACATTCTTATTTTCACTCTGGTTGAAGTTTAATTTAGAACAGGGGTCTAAAACTCTAGTACTCGAGGGGCGCAGTCCTGCAGGTTTTAGATTTTTTCCTGCTTCTGATTAAATTGGATCTCCTCTGGACATTGCTGAGATTTTCTAATGGCTCATTGATGTGAATCAGGAGTGTTGAAACGAGTGTTGGACGAGTTTGCGACCCCTAATTTAGAATGTCTGAAAGTGAGGGGATGCTCGAGCATTTACAAAAAACAAATGTTGGATTTACTTGGTTGCAGCAAAGATGGAGTCAAACTTGTCTTTGAGTGCTTTGCCTTCACTAAGCGGCCAGTTCGACTCTTCTTGGTGACAGAAAATGACATGGTTCAGCACAGCCTTTGATACACCCAACGCAGAAATCATCTCCCGGTCCAGCTCACCACACTTGGAAGACAAGCTCACCTTCTCACCATCTCTGTATAAAACACGAAAGGAGTCAAATGTGCAAGGTGTTGCCATGGGGCCTTAAGGTATCTACCCAAATCTGACGTTTTTGAGATTATGAATTAAAATGTGCGATGAAAATCGTGGCTTACTTCATTCGGGTGATAACCTGCTCTAAGCTTTTGAAGGTGTTGTTCTTTGCCTTCTGCGTGCAAGACATGGAGCGATGTATGGTTACTTTCTCTCCGTTTACGTCCGAGAACAACAGTCGAATCTGAGCTCGCACATCTGTCTCGTGGGCATCCTGAAATTGTACGGCAAAGTTTCAGCATGATCAAACTGCAGGAATAACCTCAGCCATCGTTGAGGGATCAGGACGAGTCTGGGTCTTGCAAAAATGTAAATCTGTACAATAATGTAAATAAACATCTTAACACTGGCCAATAATCCATATTCAAGTCAATTATAGTAATCTGCCACTGTTACAGTGAAATTGAAATGGTAAACAGAGTGGTTAAAATCAAACGGACAGTTAAGTATTCAACAAACTTACCTTAGGATCATGAACAAAAGCCCCTCCTTTAGATCCAGGGGGAAGCTCTCCCGCAGTTGCATACTTAAGACATTCAATAATGGTCTAAAAGTAAGAAAAAATATATATAACAAAAATCAACACACAGTAATAGCATAAATGTTATTATCCAACATCTAGTTACTTGTAAAGCTCTTTCGAACACAATTAACTTGTTTTCATACCGTTTTTCCGGCTCCGTTGGGTCCAACCAGAACAGTTAAAGGCGTAAAGAAAGAGATGACTTGTTTGTCTTTATCCTCAATGCCGAAGCTCCTCACCCCCAAGATGCTCATCTTGTCTATCTTCGACATTTTTGCTTCACAGAAAGAGGAGAGCACACAAATTTGAACAAAAAGTGATGAAAATGATAGAAACCAAACAAAGCATTGCAGTGAAGCTGGATCCTTCTTATCATGATGCATGCATACGTCTGATCCTATACAAATGCATGTCACAATATGCTGCTGGCACATTGTGACTGGGGTTTTACTGTGGCAGTCGACACTTTTAAACCACCTACTGCAAGCAGCACTTGGTGTCTGAGGTTGTTGTAAGCATGCTTTGTGCATCTCCTGATTACACAGACAAATATTACCGTTGTGCTGAAAAAGTCAGAAGCAGAGTGCTGCACTTTGACTTTTTTGGTTACCAGACCTTGATGAGAGTATCTCCCATCAAGCTGGCAGGATGTTCAAAAGATCTAACCAGTTCATCTTTAGTAAAAACTTCCTCTCTGCAATAAAAAACTGTTATTTTGTGGCTTTTTGTCTTGATTTTATCTAATAAGTGAAACAAAAAAATGGCACAGCAATTTTCACGTCTTTGAATATTTCTGCGAGAATCTTTTTATCGTGTCCATTTAAAAATCGAGCTATGTAACTAATACTACAGTAATGTCAACTAAAAGACTAGTACTGGATGTGTGATTAGAACAAGATGATTGTTGCATTTATTCAACAGGTTAAAAGGTTTGTTTGGTCAGTCTTCATATCATCTAAGAGCTCGGTGCCCGACCACACTTTGCGTGACAAAGGTAAATCATTCTAAAGCTTATAAAGCGTGTGTTTAGTATGTTAATGTGTGTGTGCAACGCTAAAAAGGCGTTTACTGCCATCCTACACGTTAGCTAGCGACGTTTGGCTATCGTGTTGAGCGGCGGCGTTCAGCAAACAATGTCCAGAACGGATGCAGCCGCCGCAGAGGAATTAAAAAGAAGAACTAGCCAAGAGCTGCTGTCTGCATTAACACGTGTAAGGCGTCACGTCCTAACTCACCTCGGTCAGTGGTTTTACTTCAGACATGAAACTACACTTTTCGCGCTGTTGGGGAAAGTGACGTAGAAAGCAGCGCCTCACTTCCGGTGGAGGGCGCAGCGTCACGAGCGTAGACTATGGACGTGTTGAGCCACTGTCCACACGCTATTAATCTTTAATTTCCTGAATTATTTTAGCTTCTAAATATATTTTTAACTCAGAGAGTGCCAAATCAACTAATTACTTGATAAGTCAAAGTGTGGAATAATTTCTATTTATTTTAATTCTAGTTGGTTGGACCAACAAGTCCTAGCTCATCACTTTGGCTATATGTAAATAAAAGTTTGCATACACTCATGCAGTTTAAGTTTACGTCTTGCTCAAAGCATGCCATTTCTTGAACGTTTACTTGATTAATCTATTTTAAAATAACTTTCTTCCCTACCAAACTCCAAAGCCTCAATGAAAACCATATTTCACCCTTAGTTCTGTAGGCTGATTGATAAACTATATATTTTTTAAAAGCAGTCACTTTCAGAAATTTATATATGTTTGAACATTAAAAGGGCCGATTTGTGGGGGAAAAAAAACCTGTTGACTTGACTTGGCTCAGTTGTTTCAATGAGTGTATCATTCTCCATTCTAATAACTTTAGTTATGATGGGAATTGTTGGGTTTCTGTAGTTAACTTCAGAGTAGGGTCTGACCTGCTCTGTTTGGAAAGCGCTGTGAGACAACTGTTGTTGTGATGTGGCGCTATATAAATAAAATTGAATTGAATTGAATTGAATCTATGCAGGCAGATTTGTTTGATTCAGATAAGTCTTCATCAAATTGTATGGATAATAATGAGATAGTTGTCTAATGGGTGGACATTGGATATCTAGAACATTTTAAATGTGTGATGTCAAGTTTACTATTTCGAAGCCATATAACGTGCTTTTAGTACATACATTTTTCTTTTGGCACACTCATAATGTTTGTTTTGTTTTTGCAAAGTCCAGAACTGATTCCATATAATGCTATGTTTGCATACCAACTCTTAATATTTAAGGGGGTAGCCTCCCTTCCAAAAACCTTTACCACAAGAGGACAGTGTTTTCCTGAGGAAACCTCAGAGCCCACCATGGTGCTTTTACTGTTCTATGCAGAGAGACTGTTTTCTTATGACACTCTTCACCAACCACGTGATTCAACTTATCTTAAAAGCTTTCTCATCAGACTACACATTTCATATTTAAAGAGGTCTCTGAATCCCATTCAACGCACTGAGTGTTTTTGTTTCGTCAGTCGATCTTTGGTGAAAAAAGATAAATCAACATTATTTTCACCTAGTTAGATAGTGATCTAATTCACTCATTTCGTATACCATAAACTACATTTTCTGACGCACTTATAATTCATTATGGCAGACACGGGTGACCTGAGTCAAACACAATCACTGCACAGATGTCACGGCTTACGCACGGCCACTCAGAATTGCTCTCTTGTAGCTAATGATGCGATGACCCCGATGTAAGCCAATTGAAAGTGAGCAGTCAACGTGACTGAGTTAAAGGTTGTTGCCAAATAGGGAAACAATTTAAAAAGGCATAGAGTGTGTGTCAGAGGTGGGTGATGAGGAAGAACAAGACCAGTAAAAATATGTAAGAAGCAATTTCAACAACGGTGATAGAGCCTGTTCATTGAATGATAATGAGGGAGACAAGACGGAAAAGCCCATCCAGGAGCGACTATGTGCGGTTGTGTGTCTCCTTTTTGTCTGTGAGGGGACCGGCTTCCATCCTAAAAGGTACCCCAAGTCTCATCCAAGGGCAGATGGGAAAGGCTCAATGGATGGATAGGGTTGAAAGCTCTTTAAAACTTGTAATGGTATGAAATTGGAGTGAATGTGGTGTTTTTTTATTAAGGTGTGATCCATGGCAACAGAACGTTATTCCTCATTGCTTGGCGACACTGAGGAAAATGAAGTTGTTTACTTTGACTCAAGACGTGATGCAGAGGGTAATGAGTCATCCGTCCGCTTTGATTTTGCAGTTAATCCCACGTGCCATGCTTTAATATCTTGTCTTGGTCCTGTAGTCTTTTACCTAGGGAGTTAAATGACATTATGGCCTTTCTTTTATTGCTGAAACGTTTTTAGTTTTTTTGCTTTAATCATCAAAAAGGTTTCACCATTGATCTATGTCCCATGTGTGGAATACACAGTGAACAGGCCTTAACTGGTTTTGGAGACATTTTATTATTTTGAGCATGCATTGAAGACTGCTGTCATGTTGATTTGTATTTACAAATGGAAAAAAAGGAACATCATAGAGTGTGAGCCCAGATGTAAAAGAAACTTTGCCGTAAGCCAATGCAGCATCAAAGAAGTAGATAAGTAGAAATTCATTTTAGTTTGTATTTCTGCATCTGTATAAGTGTAAGAAAAAGAAAAAAAACTTTGCAAAAGAATAAGATAATGAATCTGGTTGCAATAAACTTAGATGGGTGTTTTTAGCCTGTTAATGGGATTGAAAAACATCACACATCCAAAGGGACCTACCAGCCTGGTGTTTCCCACCTGTAGTGACTCTCCACTCTCTATCCCCACCCCTAAAATCCCACAGACGTCTTTTCCGTATTGCCCTTCCTGTACTCTCCTCCCCCAAAGACTGCAGCACGCACACATACACATGCACGTTTCCACAAACTGCCTCCTGCTTTCAGCTCAGTGATTCAGTCTGTCTGTGTTATCAGTCTACTGAGTCATTGTGCCTCAGTCTGTCCTGCTCATGGCTCTCCTATTTTTGTCCAATCCTGACGAGAAAAATGTCACGAGCCTGTGCGTCCGGTGAACCACTGGAGGTAGGAATGAGAGTCATTACACATGTTGCTAATCCCACAAGTCTACTGCAAAAGCAGCTAATGAAGCCGGCTTACTTTCCATTTTTCAGTATCGCACGTGACAAAGGATAGCAACAATAGAGGAGTTAAGTGGAAAAGAAGGGGAAATTTGAGAGGCAAAATTGATGGAATAAATGACAGTGGACTGATATTTCCTAAAAAAATATAAGATGTTTTGGACTGCTGTGGTTTTTAGCCACTGGCACTGACTGATAGCCCCACCTTTCTCTCAAAAGCCTGCTTTTTGACATTTCATGAAGTCGTCTCCCCAAAGTTGCACAGCCAATATTTTATTAAATCCCGAGGGGCTGTTTGAATGGGAAATCTGCTTTAGTGCTGCTCACTCACTGGAAAGTTCCTATGAAAAAAGAAAGAAAGCTCATAGATTTGACAGTGCATGGAAATTTCTTCTTGGTCCAGATGCTGTGCAGAATTTATATGATCCATTTTGAGCAATCTATATTCATATATATATATATATATACAACAAGTGATTTTTAGGTCAGGTTCATTTGTAAATGGAAATGTAATTTGGAAATGTATTCCTTCAGTTGAACAGCATCTGAAACGGAGACTTGTCCTTGCTATGATCACTCCTGCTTCCTGACTCCTTTTTTAATGTCATGGCGTACATGCAAATCCATTCAGATCATGATCCTTCATTTTCATCTGCAAGTACTGTACATTTGCAAAAAAAAACAAAAAAAAGCAGCACATCCCAGCGAGCTATCCAAAGTAGAATTTTGAGGAGCAGCCTTTGTGACTCCGCTCTGTCAGAGTGACCTTTACGCTCTTTGACTTCACATAAGAGAGGCACTCGTGGCTTTTCAGTGCAGGCACTGAAACGTCTTCGAACATTCTTTCATTCTTTGTGATGCTAAAGTCCTGCTGCTTCAAGCACAGCACCTCCCACACAGTCAGAATTTGTCAAAATGTGTTTGAGTTTGAGCTGTCTCCTCCAAAACAGTTGAAAGTTTTCAGGTTTGGGCAGTGTGTGTCTGTGTGTGTGAGGGGGGGTGGACAAAAAGGGAACAAGAGAGAGGATTTTACCTGACAACTATCAAGATTAAGCTAATGCAAATGTACAGTTAATTTTTTCCCGCAGGCCTTTATATTAAATATGCTATGCTATAACTCAATTTTATCAAGCATTTTATTTCTATTAAAAGTTTCTCAACTGACATATGCAGTTCTAAAGTCATTTGTGCGGTCAGGTTTGACTTTGGGTTGACTTGTAGAGCTTTGAAATGTGGGATGGGAGGTAAACCTTTTAGTTGTCAGCTCTGCCAGCTCTGCTTCAAGAAGCAGGCACCCTTTCTACTACGTAGAGGCTTTAAACTGTCCTGTTTGATGAAGTTTATGGCTGGAGAGAGGTCAGTTGATCCTGAAACATTCCAATTTTTATGTTTTCATCGGCCTGGACTGCAAAGGGGGACTCTCATGATGCATGATTCCAGAGTCTGGTTCTTCCAGTGGTTTCTCTCGTCAAAATTTCTTTAAGTTTCTTTTATGATAGGTATTAATTGCAAAGCAGTATAAAAATCCATGTTGCTGAATCCACTTAAACTGATGTATCCAGTTAATTTAATCCGTTACATAAACAAATCAATATTTACTGTATGCAGGTTTTCACAGTCATCTAGATTTAACTCTATAATGCTATTATAGAGGCAGTGTCAGTGCGCTTTTAGCTTTCTTTACATTGTCATTATCTGGAGGTTTGTGTATCATTTTGAGTTTTTTTTCTGGTGTTTCACAGTTTGATCTTTTCACTTGATTTTCTCAGTTTCTCTCCATTCCCCTCTGTCCTTTGGCCCCTCCTGTTCTGGCCATCACTCACAGCCTTCCCAGTTTCCCCGCCTGTCCTGTTATCAGCTCCACTGCTTTCACCTGAGTCCCTTATATTCAGCTGCCCTCACCGACTAATCACCGTCCGCACGGCACTTCAATCCCCCAGTTCTCCACACTCAGATCCGGAACATTAATCTCTCCAATACCTCCTCGTGTTTGGCCTTACTTCTGTCCCTTTTCCTTTTAAGTATGTTCTTTGGTTTTTGCTCCTCATTTTAATTTGATGCTGTTCGTCACACTTTTTTTCCCCATAATTTTGGTAAATCCATCTTTTTAGTTTTCCCTCCACCGCCTGCGTGGATTTTGGGTCCTTCATCTCCCACAGCCTGTGATGATATTTCATGGGTGTCTTTCAGATCCCATGTTGGCAGAATATTCAATTATTTAATGTTTTTGTC